CGGGGCTGCCCACCCTGCAGCCACACGCAGCGTCCCGCGTGGAGCGCCGCCTGGCATACTCCCACCCACCGGCCTCTGCTCCACGTGATACGTGCATCTGTCTGCTCATCTACCCACGTCATCCACCCGTCACCTATCACCCTGCCCGCCCGCCCGCCCGCCCACCTATCTGCCCACCTACCCGTCCACCTACCTACCTAGCTATTTGATCTATTTTCATCACCTCCCTATCATCCAGCTATGTGTCTATATCCATCTACCTACCTACCTATCAACCATCTGTCATCTCTCCTGTCTATACATCTACCTACCTGCCCCATGATGTGCGTCGTGCTAGGCGCCCACACCCACGCTCCCCGAACCACCAGCCCTGAAGCCCCAACTCTGAGCATCCTCTTATTCCTGAACTTTTCTTCTTTTACCCAAAAATAACAAATGGAAACCACTGCAAAACTCCCCTGCTGCCTATTTCCAGAGACTAAGGGATTCACGGGCACTCTGGAAGCCCCGAGAGTCGCGGGAGCTCACACGCTCTGCCACGCAGCACCCCCGAGCAGTCGGGGGCTCTCGCCGAGCGTGGACGACCCACGCACTCCCCACAGGGGCACCAGGACGGAGCTACGGGATTCCGGGGCCCCGAGCACCTGCCCGGCCCACCCACCTGCTGCTGAGACAGCCCCGCGGGCATCGGGGCCAGGACGGCTTCGGGGTGCCGGCAGTCGACGTCGATGAACACGTCCTGTTCTTCTTCGGGACCGGGTCTGGCATCTTAAAGGGAAGTCAGAACGCACCTCTGTGACCTTGGGATAATGCGACGTCCCAGAGCAGTAAAACGAGCTGTCGAATCAACGCTCTGGGACAGCACCTCAACCTCCGTGTTTATGTCCCACTCAGCGGTGACTACAGTGAAATTTTAACTAACCCAAGAAAGCATCTTCCCCACGGGGGACCGAGCGAGGGTCGCTATGTGAACGTTTCAGTACTTGAAGCTTAAACAAGGGCAGAGGTGTCCTGTGAATACCCAGATGGCAGAGTAGAAATGAGTATCTCAATTCCTCGATCTGTCACCTGTCACGATCGGACACGGGGAAAGGTGGTGAGGACAGAACCAGCCCTCGGTCCCTGGCGAGGACTTTCTGCCTGGCTGTCCCACCGCAAGTTGAAAAGGCACAACCTCCTCAAAATCAAAAGGTTTAGACCAGAGGAATCCATTTTTAAAAACTCAGATAATGCAAAGTAAACAAAAGAATCCACAAATGGCAGGACACCAGAGAAGCAGAGGCTGTGGCCCAAGCCCCAGCCCCTGGGCCTGGCCCTGGGCCGCGGGCGTGCGGCCGGCACGTCGTCAGGGCACGAGCTCCGTCAGAACCCACGGGCCCGTCCGTTCGCCAGGTCACCCTGGGGACGCTGCCCACTTCCCTCCGTCCTGAGAGGCTGAAGACCTCGTTAGGACTGAGTTTGTACAGGCTGCTGACTACAGCTCCAATGACAGTCTTCCTGGGCCAGTCCTCGAGGCACCGGGCGGCTTTAAAGTGATCCCCAGGCACGGTGAGCAGGCCGCCTGCCGTCGGCACCGCCGTGCGTGCTGCAGTGCCGGGAGAAACGGAACTGCGTGTCCGCAGATGCGCCACACACATCAGGGCCACCGAGCCAGGCTGCACCACGCACATCAGGGCCGCCGAGCCAGGCTGCACCGCACACATCAGGGCCGCCGAGCCAGGCTGCACCGCGCGCTCTCGGCTCCCCGGGCGTGAACGGGTTCCTGTCACGCGTCAGTGCACAGAAGCGTCCTTGGCTCGTGGCCAAGCTGAACATGTGGGTCTGCGGCCCCTTAGTGAGACCCAAAATTCTGGAATCACCGCAAACCGTCTCACCAGGAGAGAGGTTCCGATGTCCCTGCTCAGAATGTGTCCCTCTGAGCATCAGGCTTCGGGCCCCATGGGACGACGCCCAGACCGGGGGTGGGGGGCTGGCACACAGCAAGCACGCCGCCCGGGCTGTGAACAAGCTCGCTGACCCAGTCCCCGAGGGCTTGGGGGGGACGGATGAAGCCCCTGGGAAGGGGAGGGAGGGGCAGTGGCCCAGGACCTGGGAGGGGACAGCAGGTGGGGACCCTGCGGAGCTCGCTTAGTTCACCGCTGCCTGCTGCCTGTGCCCCCTGGGACGGCCCCCCAGCCCTCCCAGCGCCCTCGGCCTCGGGAAGCCCCGCCCCCCGCCTGGCGGGGCCCTGGCGACCAGCCGCCTGCGGCCACAGACCTTGGGAGACGAAGGGCTTGGTCCTCATGAAGGAGCGGCCCCTCTTCACGGCGGCCTTCGTCCTCTCGAGCCCGTCCTTCGTGCCCTCCCTGGCCGCCCGCATGAGCTTCTGCACCTGCGGGGGGGGCGTGGAGATGTGCGGCGGTCCACAGCGGCCCGCGCCCGCTCCCCGTCTGTTTTAAAAGAATACTGTCAAGTAGCTCGGTCACGAAACGTCGCCTGAAACCGGCTTTCGGACGTGGGCATGTGGTCTGCGCTGCCTGCTTTGGGTCTGATTTTTTTTTTATAAAAAAAGGAAAAACAGACTTTGAAAAGAGGCCCCCTTTGGCGTGGCTACAAAGTTCCCCGCCATGTTTAAAACTCATCCTGGTTTGTATCATGATCACGTGCGGACACGCGGCTTCGTGGGCCTTGCAGGCAGAGAATCAGCCCACAGCTGGTACGCGGCAAGTCACAGGAAATGACAGAAGTGACCGAGACCAGCCCAGCCCGCCGGCCACTGCGCCCCGCCGGCTCCTTCCTGAGCCCCGTGGCGGCCAGCCCTGGGCTCACAGGGCCCGCGCACCCCACAGAGCCGCCTGTGCCCACTCCAGGGGCAGACGGAGAAGTCGAGCGCCGGGCGGAGGGGCAGCCCGGTGAGGGGCTGGAGAGTCACAGAGAGCGTGCCGGCCGCGGGAGTCAGGTGACTGGGCTGCCCCAGGCGGGGGCCACGTGCACGGCCACGTGCACGGCCAGCAGCGCCCGGAAGCCGCCGAGGACGGCGCCGGTGAGCTACTGACACTTCCGCTTCTTCGAGGGCCTAACGTCTGACGCGCTGGCCACGGGCAGCGTGCTTCTTCCTTCAGAGAAGACGCAGCCGGCCCCTCGCGGGCCGAGGCCGGGCAAACACTGGCCGCCGGCCTCCTGGGGGCGCCCCACAGAGGGGCAGTTCCGGCACCACAGCCGGCTCACCTGCGTCACCCCCGCGGGCCTGCCCTCTCCTGCCCAAGCGCCCAGGTGGACCTCAGGGCCAGCTCCCGGCCGGACGCTGACGCAAAGCCTCGGGCAGAGGCCCCACTGCCAGCCCAGGGGTCGGGCCTGATGCGGCACTGGAGGCTGCAGCCATGCGACTCGGCCACACGGTCTGCTCCGCATCACTCCCCGGGCAGCGGTCAGACACCGTCCCTCCAGCCCTGGCCCAGTCCACGAGTCCTCTACTTCCCAGGGCTTCCCGAGGCCGCCACCCAACCTGCTGAGACCAAGCTGCGGACCCCAAGCCCAGTGGTCAGCACAGGCCACTCTATTCTCCCTCCCGATACCCTAAAGCCACTGGGGCCTCCGGCCCTGAGGCCTGCACTCCACACCGATCGCAGCCGCAGCCTTGACGATGACGCCTTCTCTCCAGCCCGGCCGCCCCCTTCGCACACCCCCACTCCGTTCCTCCCCACGCCCCCCAGACCGGGACGCTGTGCCCGCCTCACCCTGACCGCCCCCCTACCGGCCCAGACTCCCTCCCAGGAGAATCAGGGCTGCAGACGAGCATGGAGCCTCGTGGCCAGAACCCGCCGCCACACGCAGCAAGATGACCTCAGGGCCGGGGGCCAGAAGGACCCGGAGGCCAGAAGGACCCAGAGGCCAGGTCCCAACTCGGCCCTCGCTGCCTCGCCCGGATGACGGCCGTCGCTGGCCTGGCCTGGGCCACCCGCCCAGCTCACCCCTCCCTGCTCCCCATGTGCCCCATTCCTTCGCCAGCCCGTGCAAGTCCAGTGCCCGGCTCCCCACGGCCAAGCTCTGGGCCCCCCAGAAAACCCACCAGACCCTGGATGACGCCCAGCGCAGCCTCCTGCAAGGAACACGCGGCACCGAACTGGACGACAGGACGCGGGTCCCAAGATCCCGCTCCCGTTTGGAAAAGTCCAGGGCCCAGAACACTCTAGAATGAAACAGCTGACTGACCCAAGAGCCTGCTGTCAGGGAAGTGCCACGCACCACGAATAAGCAAGTCACAAAACACCAGAACGAACAAAAGACCGAAGTGCAGGAAAAGTTACTTGACAGTGCCCTTTTAAAACACACCTCAAGGAAGCGACCACCTCCACGTGCCAAGCCAGCAGCCCCCGAACGCCGGCCTCGGAGCCCTCATGCCCGCAAAAATGACGGCGCCCAGCAAGCTCGGGCTTGTCGGGGTTTCGTTCACCTGTATTTACTGCATGGCGAGTTAAAGCTGAGAAAATTTTGAGCTTCTTAATGTGGACTTTAAAACAGTAATAAATCTCTCATTACGTTCTCTGACATAACACGGTTATGAAAAGTTACTATGGTCTCGTGCGGCTGGCTTCCGCCTTCGACGGGCCGGGACCGGACATGGGGGACCCGCCGGAAAACCCCCTCGTTCACACGTGAGAGAATGCGAGACAAACGGCCAACGATGCCCCAGAAGGAGCGGGAACCGGCTGCGGCCGGGAGGCGCCTGGCTCTTTGGGAACGGCCTGTGTCTGAGTGAGCGCTGTCGACGGAGCTGGTCGAGGAGCGAGCCACACACCTTCAGCTCGTGCTTCTGCTTCAGCTGCTGGATCTCCACTGAGCCCACCGTGCTGGCCACCAGCTCCTTCACCTTCCTCTCATAGTGCTCCTTCAAGCGGGCCAGGTCATGGGACAGCTACAGCATAGAGAGATAACGGCTCTTTCACAAAAACGCTCTTTGGCACTTGAGACGATCTTCCATTGGAAGGGCTTCGGCAGTGCCTGGTGCGTGGCAGGCTCCTCCTCTACGGCTCCCGGGGACCGCACGCCACACCAGCCCCCGTGCGCAGCCCGCCGGCTCTCGGAAATAAATACACGAGTAAGTAAAGCACTGTGGAGAGACACACGGCTTCGGTGAGACAGACTGCAGATCTTTCTATGCACAAACAAGTGCAAACCCAAGAATCTGTACACGGTCATTCCTTCACATTTTGATGAAAATAAAACAATGACATATGGAAAATACGTACAAATTGTCCCTTAGGTCAGCACCAAAGCAAAAGACTCTTGAGTTCAGGGCTGCACTAAAGCAGGGTGTGAGCTGGGGACGGCCAGCAGAGAGCTTTGAGTCCCCAAACCGACGTCACTCTCTCTCGCCAGGAGGGAGGGGCGGTGGGGGGCAGCGAAGTCTCAGGAATCACGGCTCTGTGGCCACAACGGTCTCAACTAGGGAAAGGGGGCCCCTCTGCTCCTTAGAGAACGTCTCCCACTTCAACTGGGACAAGGACACAGTACGTAACTTTGGATAAAAACGTGAGACTGTTTCTGAGACAACCATCCATCTAAACGCCTGTCCCCTCCCGGGACACTGCCCTGGGGGACGGGGGGACCGTGCTCCTGCCCCTTCCCCGTGAGCTGGTTCTGTGCTGACCTTGCATCTTGTAACCCCCAGCAGGGAGGCCACTGGGCCGCCCGACACTCACCCTCACTGGGCACTGCGGGCGGCTGGTCTGGGACGAGCCACGGCGAGGAGGGCAGAGGTTCTGCCGGGTTCACCGGAGGCCAAGCCCGACCTCGGCCACTTTGTGCCATGACCGACCAGGCTGAGCCGGGACGATAGGTGAAGGCGTTTGACCACTCTCTCAAGGCACCCACTGAACCCCGCTTCCTGCCCACAACGGACAAAGCACGACTTGCGAATCCCAGTTCAAACCCAGAGTGTGGGGCTCAGCCGCACCGAGGCAAGTGCGCCTGTGGCTTCGCTCACTGGCTCAGCTTGGCCATCACGACTCGGGACGGGAGGTCCCGGCAGAGGGCTCGGGGACGCCGAGCTGTCGGGCAGGCTGTTCTCACGCTTCATGAAACAAGTTACAGAACGTGAGAATACGAGGCAACGTGGAGGCTCCACCCCACACGGCAGGCGGCCCCGGGGCGCAAGCGGGCTGGGGCCGTCATGAGCGAGGCATGAGGTCTCCGGCTGCATCGACCAGTCAGGCTGGCCAGCCGCGTGCGTGTGGCCTGCGTCTCAGCCTCACACGGAGAGAACGTGAGCACGGAAACATCACTGCGGTGCAGACGTCAGCACGACTCGACCTCGCACAAACACCCAGCGACAAACGCACGCAGCTCGGCCAGTGACCGCTGACGAGCAGACCCGCCCGACGGCCGGCCTTGAACGCCGCCCAGCTGGAGAGCTCACGCTTCAGTCTGAGCTCCTTGCTGGGCCCTCCGCGCAGGAGTGGCACACACACACGCACACACGCACACGCACACACATGCACGCACGCGCGCATACACATGCGCACACATGCCGACGCAGTCATACATGCACACACGTGCACACGTGCAGGTGCCCACACGTGTGCCCACGCATGTGCACATGCATGCACGTGTGCGCTCGTGCACGCACACATGTGCACATGCATGCACGCTCGCACATGCGTGCACACGCGCGCACACATGCAGATGCACGCATGTGCGCACAGTTCTCTTTAAGGAAGGACACATGCGTGCACACACGCACACACATGCAGATGCACACATGCACGCATGTGCGCACAGTTCTCTTTAAGGAAGGACAGTCCTGGACAGCTAGGAACTTCTGTCCCTCACATCCTTTGTGACATTCTATTTTTATACGCTCCTGTCCCTGTCGGAAATGCTGACGTCCAAAGTGCCCCTAGGGACAGCGGGGTGGCACCGTGCCCCACACAGATCCGCGTCAACCCAGTGTGCAAAGCAGGCAGCGACGCTGTGCACAAATGGGATTCTGTGTGCACAACACGAACGCCTCAGAGATCCCACGCACGCCCTCGAAGCACTCCAGAGCGCGAGCTTGCTGGGGACTTTTCACTGATTTTCTTCATAAAAATCTAATTTTCCCACCTTGCCACGATTATACCAGTATCTGTGCTTCCCCCAAACCACGGCAACATCTCAGTAACACCTGTTCAAACTTCTGCGCACCGGTGGTCACGTGTCACGGCGACACTCTGCCTCCCGGACAGACGGACCGAAAGCTCACCTGCTTCTTGTGGCCGCCGCGGAGGAAGGGCCGGGGCACCCCGTTCCTGCACTCGGAGTCACTCTGCTCGCCGTAGCTTTCAAACTCGCTCGAACTCCACCCGTCCTCCAGAGAGCTGTTCCCAGCCTCGTCTCCGTGCTCCACATCGTCATAGAGCATTTCATCTGGTGCACAAAGGCCAGGATGAGATTCGGAGCTCAGTCCCCGGCAGCCACCGCTTCGTGGGTGGTCATTCCGCAGCGTGGACACGAGCCGGGGGGCGCCCACCCGAGAGGCCGGGGGGAGCCTGCCCGAGCCGGGTCTGCCACCGGAAAGGGTGGTGGGATGGACCCCGGGGCTGGTGGAGTCCGGGGGGGTGACAGTGACCGGGAGGGCTGACGGAAGCCGGTACCCCAGCTCCGCCTGTGCCCTGAGGGCCTGGCCCCCCACTGAATCCACAATCTCACCAGACAGCCTCCCACAAAGGAAAACATTTTTTCAGACAAATGGAAGGAATATAAATGCATTGCACAGACGGATGGACGGATGGGTGGGTGACAGAGAGACAGATTCAACACGAACACAGTGAAGCTCACTGCACACAACTGTAGATTTTGCTTTTCTGCTAAAAAGGACCTAACAAAACTAATAATCTATTACCGTATTTAAAGGGCTTCGTCACATCGCTCATTTCTATTCGTGAAGAACACACGAGTGACAAAGGCGCTGTGCCCAGAGGGGACACCCGCAAACCCTGACTGGCACTCTGGCTTCCGAGGCCGCGGGTCCCCCTCTGTGCTGGGGGGGGCCCAGTGGCGGGTGACCCACCCGCACACGCGCTTCGTACGCGGACTCTGATGGAGCGCGCGGGCTGGTCCGGCAGCCTGCTCCTGTGCCGAGCGACGGCAAGAGAATCTGCAGATGCCACGGTCACCGGGCTCCGGGAGGGGCCGAGGGTGCGGACGCTTCCTGACGCCCCGTCGGGGCCTCCGGCTTCGGGACTCCCGGGGGCAGAGGCTGGTGACTTCCCGCGGACACGCTGTCGGCGTCCCCTCCCAGTCACGGGAGCCGTGTGACGGGCCGAGGGCTGTGCTCTGGTGCAGCCACACCCGTCCCGGTGGCACGTCTGGCAGGTTCACTGAGCAAGGGACCCCGCACCTTAATAAGTCGTTCCAGACTCATCAACGTTTTCTGTTTCAGACACGGTCTGTTTTTCCTGGGTGTTTTCACTTGCCGACACGAAGTCCAGAGCGCTCTCGGGGAGTTCACCCCCGCCCCCCGACAGCCCTTCTGCCGCACGCCGGGCACCGACGCCCGTCTCTCTCGCACGCTCAGCCGCCCTCGGGCCTCCTGACACCGGCCCGCTCCCGCGTCCCGGCCGCCGTGCTGCCCCCTCCTCCCTCCGCCTTTTCTGACTCTGCTCTTTTACGTCCCGAGCTAGACGCTGAGTTCGTTATTTTTCCATCGCTTTTTAACAGGTGCTGTTATCTCATATCTCCATCATTTTAAACCTATCCCGTAAGTTGTTATTTAATGTTTTCATCGTTATTCAAGTCACAGCATGTTCTAATTGTCATTCTGACGTCATCCCTGGCCACGGGCTGGGCAGTAAACGTGTCGTAGCTGTGTCGCAGTGTAGATTTCTAATTTCCAAATGTTTGTGCTTATTTTTTATTGGCTTTGTCAGCTTTTTGTCAAGGATGAGACCTGAATACCGGTTCTTTGGCATTTGTTACCATTTGCTTTGAGACATCCTACTATGCAGGTCATTTTTGGAAGTGCCCCACGTGTCTGGGAAACGCCGTGCATCCCGAAACCATTCGTTTGGGGGTTCCCCACACGCCCCCTGGGCTGACCGCACGCTGTGTCCTGCAGTCCACTGACTGTACCCGGGTCCGTGACAGCGGAGACAGCACCATCGCCCACTCCCCCTACGTGTCTCCCGACTTCTGCCTCCATCTCGGCCACGTTTCGCTTTACAGATTCTAGGCTGTGCTGTTAGGTGCACATACGTTTAGAACTGCTATGTCTCTCTCTCGAGAAGGACGCTACATCGAGTGACGGATTATCGCTTCACATTTAGTACACGACGATAGTCGTTCTGGCTGTATTTGGGTTAGGAGTGGCCTCACGTTCCTCTTTCCACCCACTTACGTACAAACGTTCCGTTCCTCTCGATAACTCTCATAATACGTGTCTGGCTTTGCCACGTCACCCAACGTCGGAATTTCTTTCACTGCTGACTGGAGTCAAATTATTTTTATTATAAATACCAACGTATGTGAACTAATTTTACTCTTTTTTTATACTACTTCCCATGCTTTCTTATTTTACATTTCCTTGCTTTCTACCAGATTTGGTTTTGCATTATTAATTTGGAAGGTAAACAATCTATTTCCGCTCTTTTAGTGATTAGCAGACCTGACCTATCATATCAAAAAAAAAAGAAGAAAAATAGTGCGTAAACTCTCCTCCCGAACAAACGCACAGACTTCAGGGGCTCAGGGCCAGCCACTCTGCCACCCCACGCCAGTCCCACCACCACGCGTGGCCACGCCCGAAAGTGAAACGCCACTGTCTGCGCTGTAGACGCTGCTTTAGATTCATCCACAAGTTCGTGAACTTGTCTGTTCCCTGTTCTTCTCTGCTTCCTAGTACGCGCTGCGTTCCCTTCCCTAAAATGCACGGTTAGGCATTTCTTCGGCGCCTGTGAGTGGCAACTCTCCCGCCTTTGCCTGATCCTGCCTCTGTTCTCCATCTGAAGGCGGACGCCCCGGCTGGAGGCGGGAAGCCAGGTCGAAACGCCGTTCCCCTCAGTGCTCTGACACGCGAGGCCACTGTCGCCCGCCACAGCGACAGGTCCGCTCTTCTTTCCACGTTGTGGCTCCTCGTGCATAATCGTGCGTCTCCTTGTTGCTTTCATGATGCTCGCCGTGGACCTGGGGCTCGGCGTGTCGCCCGTCTGTGCCTGGGTGTGGACTGATGCTCGCCCCGCGCCGAATTTGTATCTGGACAACCCGGGAACGCTTTCTGGGATTCGGGGAAGGCCCAGGGATCCCTGCCCCTCCTCCCTCGTTCCCACCAGCTGTGAGACGAGTGCGGGGCCCCTCAGCCTCCACGTGTCGCCTTCCACTCCGATTTCACACCTTCCACTCCTTCTGCTTCTCCACCAAGTGTCTTAATACAAACGCACACACCTGTGCACACGCACCTGTGCACACGCACCAGCACTCAAACGCACGGCGCAGGGAGACGCTGCCGCACACGTGGCACGCGAGGGCCACACACACAGGGCTGCGCGTCCGGGAGTGTGTGCACGGGCGTCCACACACCCCGGGGAAACACCGCCACGGTGGACGCCCTCCAACTCGGCCCAGACGAAACCAAACCTGGTTCGGAGTCCGAATTCTCCCTCGGCACGTCATCGTAAATGGCTTCTTCTGGATCTGGAACGAAAGAGGAGAAACTTTAAAAATTGACCAAGACCAGCCGAGTGACATGACCCGTGATGGGGCCACGGTCTCCCGCGCCGTCACGATGACTCAAAACGGTAGTTTGCAAGGGCCGCTGATGGCGCCTGACCAAGCTCGAGCGCTTGGCGTTTCGCACCGGCCAGCTGTGAAGCGGCTCCCACGGGGGTGACAGCTTTGAGGATAATTTGTCCCTTTTGGGAACCCTTTATTCTCTCGCCTCTTGTGACAGTATTTATTAAGTGCAACCACAGTATTCCTACCCTTATTAGCTGTCGGGAAGGGCTGCGAGTTTACAGAGCTCACTTTCAGAGACAGTTCATCTAATTAGCTGTCCTCTGAGTAACAAAAATGAGTAGAAATTCAGACAAATTTCACTTTGGAAAGAAAACCACTAGAAAATAGGAAGACAATAATTTAATCTTGCACTGATCCTAACTTAACACCTCCCCCCGTAGCAGAATCGCCCGACAATTAAAACCGGATTGACACATTCCAGGGGAGCTTAACAATCAGGAGACAACTACGATGCGCCACTTTGTAAGTGGTTCACATAAAACCATCACACAAAAATCAGAGCCGACAGATAATAAGAGATAATGGGAAAAGGAGTCTTCATTTTTCCTTTACAAATTAAAAATACAAGTAAATCTAGTTAAAACCAGCAGAGCGTCCGGGGCGCACGGGGAGCAGCGGTCTGGCGGGCGTCTGGTCAGGGGTTGGCTTCACCACCCACCGGTCCCCGACCCTGCTCCAGCATCGGCACCGTGACAAAGCAGGCCCTGGGCGCGTCGCAGGAAAGGGGCTGTTAGTCTCCGTGGGGACGGGCTGGCTGTGGGCTGGGTCGGAGCACCAGGCCCCCAAACCTGGACTGTGCGACAGACACCCAAGCCTGCACTGGAGAGGGACCCGCAGGAGGGGACACATGCGGGTGGGGAGCCAAGGGCCCGGGAGGAGGGGCCGCCGGGCTGCTGAGGACACTGGCTGCAGCGATGGCCGCTCTGGTCAACGCTTCGGGGAAGCACCACAAATCTGAGGCCTCAGGTCGGGCGCGAGGCCCATCGGCACACACGCCGGGCAGGGCGAGGGCCGGGGACGGGCTGGTGGCTCCCGGCGGGCAGGGTGCTTACTGTCCATCCACGCGGTGTTGGCCGGGTCGGCGGCCCAGTGGGCCAGGGCGCTGTCTCCTGGGCAGGCCGGATCTCCACTGTGGAAACACAACACCGAGGAGCCTCCGGTCACGAGGCTGCCGATGTCCCCAGAGACATGTGCCCCCACGCGTGTGACCGGGTATTCTCCCAGAGGTGACTGCGGGGTGTCCCAAGTTCAGATTTTCATTCGCTACCATTTATAAATCATTTATAAATCAGCGCTTCGAATCCCTACCATCTGCAGGGCACAGAGGCTGTCGCCACGGCAACACGGAGACACGCAGCCCGCTCCGAAGGCCTCGACTGCCCTCGTGTCTCACAGGGCCTTGTGGCGGGTCCCTGTGCGCCACATCCCAGGAAGATGGGACGGGAGAAAGCGACAGCGGCCACCAGCGATGACAACGGCAAATGACCCAGCGAGCAGGCGCTGCCCACCGGCCGAGCGAGAGCCCCGCACGGAGAGGGACTTGGACGCCCCCCTGCAGGCGATGGGAGCCCCTGGGCCGCTTCGTTCGGAAGTGACAAGAGCAGGTTCACTCAACAAAGCACGTCACCTCCGTGAGAGGCAGGCAGTGTGGACGGCAGCGGCACGGAGGGACACGTGCTTGGGGGGCGTGCGTCCCCGGGGAGTGTGTGAGTGTGTGTGTGGGTGAGTCTGTGTGAGTGTATGTGTGTGAGTGTGTGGGAGGGTGAGTTTGTATGAGTGATGTGAGTATGTGAGTGTGAGTATGTGACTGTGGGTGAGTCTGTATGAGCGTATGTGTGTGAGTGTGTGAGTGTACGTGAGTGTACGTGAGTGTATGTGAGAGCGTGAGTGTGTGAGTGTGTGAGCGTGTGTGTGGATGAGTCTGTGTGAGTGTGTGTGTGAGTGTGTGTGAGAGCGTGAGTGTGTGTGTGAGTGTGTGTGTGAGTGTATGTGAGTGTGTGAGTGTGGGTGAGTATGTGAGTATGTGACTATGTGGCTAAGTCTGTATGAGTGTATGTGTGTGAGTGTGTGAGTGTGTGTGTGTGTGGGTGGGTGAGTTTGTATGAGTGATGTATGTGAGTGTATGTGACTGTGTGGGTGAGTCTGTATGAGTGTATGTGTGTGAATGTGAGTGTGTGTGTGAGTGTGTGTGTGGATGAGTTTGTATGAGTGTTTGTGTGTGAGAGTGTGACTGTGTGAGTGTATGTGAGAGCGTGAGTGTGTGAGTGTGTGTGTAGGTGAGTTTGTATGAGTGATGTATGTGAGTGTATGTGACTGTGTGGGTGAGTCTGTATGAGTGATGTATGTGACTGTGAGTATGTGTGTGGGTGAGTCTGTATGAGTGTTTGTGTGTGAGTGTGTGAGTGTGTGTGTGGATGAATGTCCGCCTCAGAGCGGGGCTCACAGGCTCAGCACGGGGGACCCCGAACCGCTGTGCATAGCGCAGTGAGCGGCCACGGAAGGGCAGACGCTGTGGCTCCGACCGCACAGGTGACTGAAGCGGAAACGCAGAACCGGGGCCATGGCGGGGGGTCGGTGGTCACCGCCAACGGACAGCCACGCTGACCACGAACGCGACGACGGAAAGTTTCAAAAGTAGATAGTGGTGGTGGCTGCCACTGAATTTTACACTTAAAAATGGTTAAAATGGCAAATTTTACGTATAAATTTTTTTTAAATTTAAAATAGGTAATGCAATATATCAAAAACCATAGACTAGTACACTTTCAATAGATGCTTAAAAATGCCACTGTTTTTGCTTAAAAACAAAAGAGCACCCCAGCCAGGCAATAAATAGGCACCATCAGATACCGAGCACCTGCCAGATACTAAGCACACACGTCAGGCACCAAGCTCACCCACGAGGCACCAGGAACCCTCCAGGAACCAAGCACTCACCAGGCACCAAGCAGGCACCAAGCACACCTGCCAGGCACTAAGCACACCCAGCAGGCACCAAGCACTTGACTGGCACCAAGCACTCACCAGGTACCAAGCACACCTGCCAAGTACCAAGCACATTCCAGGCACCAAGCACACCTGCCAGGAACTAACACCTATCAGGCATCAAGCACATAGCAGGCGTCAAACACCTCCCAAGCACCTGCCAGGCACCAATCACATACCAAGCACCAGACACATGACAGGCTCCAAGCACACCCGCCAGACACCAAGCACCAGTCAGGCACCAGGCACACTCGCCAGGCACTAAGCATCTGCCAGGCACTAAGCACACCCACGTGCTAGGAAACACGCTCCCCATCCTGTTGAAGCCTGGTCTGTCTTTACAGAATCCAGCTCAGCAGTGGACAGGGACAGGGCGCTGCAGGGCGGGCACAGAGCGTCCGCTGCACTGCAGCTGGGCACACGCCGCTCTGAAGCACGGGGAAGCCCTGCTCTGCGGTGACATCTAAGCACGTCCTGAGGGGTTTGCCGGAGGGTGACACGGATCCTCCCGGCCATCTCGACCAGACAAACAGCACGTGTGGAGGCCAGCAGCCTGCGACCCGGTCAGCGTGCAGGGCCCTGGGTGAAACCTGGCTCGGGCAAAGGCAAACGTCTCTCTTCTCCAATCAAAGGGCCAAGGACCTGACGACGCCAGAGCACGCCACACGTCCCCGCGCCTAGGCCGAGGAGCCAGCGTCTGCCGGCCCTGCCTGGCTGCGGACGCGGCCTGCTCCCCACACAGAACCACGGGAACGTCCTGCTCCCCACACAGAACCACGGGAACGTCCTGCAGGGTCCTGGGGTTCAGGAGACGCTGTGTGGGGGCCGGGCAAGGGGCAGGGGAGACAGAGGCTGGGACGGGCTGGGCGCCCCAGAACCGCGGCTCGGAGCCTCCATGTGACATGATGACCAGTACCTGTTTGCTGGGTCCTCGGAGCTTAGAGAATTGCACCGGCTGTCGTCCGCTACCTCTGGCGTCTCCGCTAAGAGAGAAAGAAGCGCCGTTTGCTGCCCGCTAAAAATGTTCAGGAGATTGACTTTCATCTTTAAAACGATTCCGCCCTTTGTTTTTTTATCGATAGGTTTATTCTAGCATAAAGATGATTAATTGATAGATTTAAAGTTTTTAGCTTTCAGATAAAAGGTATTAAATAGGGTTACGACAGTGACATCCTAACTGACGTCTTATGAAACAGCTAGAGATAAAACAATACTTAAGTAAAATGAGTTAGAGTTTTAAAAGAAAAAACTCACATCCTCCCTCATTTCTTAAGTTTTCATGGGAAATCACAATTGTGATTTATTTGAAAGTATGTCTATATAGCAACATCTAAAGATTTTCAAGGGAGAAATACATAAATTTGTGGCATTTGACAACCAAACGTCTTCCGACACCCACACGTGCACGCACACGCACGCACACACGCACACACACGTCCACGCACGCTCACACGCACACACACGCGCACGCACGCCCACACACGCAATCTGACAGGTGTCGCCCAGCTCAGGACGAAGGCCTGGTGCCCAGCCAGTGACCGGCTGCTCACGGCCACTGAGGCAGAGCTGTCCACGAAAGGCCTGAGGAGGGAATTCTGTTTACGCTAAGCGACCATCCGGAGCTGTCCCGCCCTGCTGGACAGCTGACCCCGGGGCCTGGGAACCTGGCTCCCTATGCTCAGCGTGGAGGCTTCGCCCGTGAAGACGGGCTCCCACCCACGGACGGGCCAGGCCCCGTGACTTCGGGAACAAACGTCTGAGGGCACAGGGCTACGGGGAGGGTGGGGAGGACGACGGGACGGGCAGCGCCGAGCGTGGCGCCACGGGGGGCGGGGGGCGCCTACCCTCTCCATCCGGGGATGCGGGGCGCAGGAGCACCGGGTCCATCCGGGGATGCTGGGCGCAGGAGCACCGGGCTGGAATAGGCCGGCAGGAGCACGGGCAGGCTGGAGGGCACGGCGTAGCCACAGGGCACGGGCACCGAGTACCCGCTGGGCACGTGCGGGCCGGCGCTGTCCTCCTCCACGGCCTGCGGGCCGGGGCCCGGGTCCTCCTGGAAGGGCGCGATGTCGATGACGGAGTAGGGGCTGACCCTGGGCGGGATCGCCGGACTCACTGGCTCCACGGTCACGACCACGTCTGCTCCCGCACCGTCTGCACCTCCTGCGGGTGGGCGCACAGTCGTCGGGGCGACGGGCTCCAGGGCTGGGGGAAGAAGGAAGCGTGAGGCCGGCCGAGGCCAGGGCCTGGGGGGCAGGCTGGGGGCGCCCGACGTCGGGCAGGTGGGATGCGGCCTGCGGCTCCCAGCACACTGCCCGAGGGGACGAGCACGCGTGGGCCACGGGGAGCACCGTCAGGAGCCAGGCCAGCGTCTGTCACGGACCAAGGGTGCGAGCTGGGTCCGGCCAGCCCCTCCGGCCAGCGAGTGGGCAGCCAGCTGCACCACGGGGCGCTCAAACTCAAGCTGCCAGAGGGTCGCACCTCGGACCACACGAGCGTGAAACTACGTCGCATACACTAGAGCGACACGCTGACGAGGCCGTTCTTCCAAAACATGGACAGACGGGGAAGTGGCCAGCCCGAGAGTCGTGGGAAACGGCCAAGTGCAGGTGCGGGTCCCTCGCTCGTCACAGGTCCCGCGGGAACGTCACGGCCCTCGCTCCCGCGCCCCGCCCCACGGTGCCCTT